GCTCCTGACAGGTGAGGTGGGGGAGGGGTGAGCAGTGTGAGAGGTGGGGTGGGGGAGGGGTGAGCAGTGTGTGACAGGTGGTGTCACAGAGACTGTGTGGATGGTTGTTTTCAGAGTGTGTCTGTGAAGGGCAGAGAGGTAGGGGGGTGGGGCTGGCTGACAGGTGAGGTTTGACCCCCCAAGTCTGTTTAAAAGAACTAGTAAGGAGAGATTCCAGGACAATCTGGGGAAGCTGAAGTGAGGGATACTATGAAAGTTTTGAGATACACAAACATCAAGAAATGTTAAAGAAATTGTTCTGATTGCCATATTTCTCAAGATAATCACCATGGACGCCGTGCTCTTAACCCATTTTTGAAATCATTCTTTTCACTCCTTCTCTTCAGGTGCTGTGAGCTCACTTCCGTAGGTGTGAGCAGCCTCTTTGGGCTGGAGAAACTTCTTCCTTGCCTTTGGTTTTTATTGTGGTGAACAGGAGATAATTGCACAGAGCCAGGTCAGCACTCTGGGGTGGGTAAACCCTAAGTTTAACCTCGGGATCCAGGAACCAGGTGGTGATCTCGGCCGTGTGGGTGGACACACTGTCACGGTGCAGGGTGGTCCCCACAGTCCCGTTCTTGGCCGCCATCTGGATGCTTCCAGAAAACGTTGAGTGGGCACTGCTGTGTGCCACCGAGCAGTGACGGTCCTCCATTCTCCTCATTCTTCTGGAGGAGCAGACATGACTGCTTTAGGAGAAGAGCGTTGGCACCGTTCTCTTTCCGACACAGTGGGGGGCTTCTCTTTCATTGCTGGATTTTCATGGGGAACTTTCTGCTGTCCACTGACACATGTTCTCTGGATCTAATTGGTAAACCTGGGTTTCATCACCAATAACATGTCAGAAACGGGTCTAGACAGGCCTCCACCGGTCTGACCAGTGTTCCTCACGTCACTCAACACGGATGAGCTTCTGCTCACCTGTCAAGAGTGTGAGGCTCCGTCAGGACAAAACCTTCTGGACTCAAAGACAACTGTGCAGGATTTTGGACGTTGCTGGTGATCCTGTCTGTAGTGCTGCCTTAGTGTCCTTAAATGTCACTCGTTTGTCATCCAACCATTATTTCCACAGTGGCAGTGTTTCCTCAGTCACTGTGGTCACAGGGTGCCATGCTCTCCTCATCTTTCAGTGAAGTTCAGCCTCTTCTAAACTCTTAAACTACCAGAAATTGAAATGTGGGAAGGAGAGAAGTCCCTAGAAGCCCACTGTAAATGCTCAAGGCTTTGAGACGCGTTTAACCCACTTTTAAAATCATGGAAAAACATCAGTGAAAGTACTCTCCTCCGAGCTGCACAGCTGATACCACCTGAGTCAAGTTTTCTACCACAGACAGAAACAAATGAGGCTCCCAGGGACACCAGTGAGTGAGCACAGGGAGTCAGAAAGGATGCCA